TATACACAGATGTACAAGGTGACAAATCTGAGTGAACTCAGTCAGGTGGAGGCTGACTCACACACACTGAGGTAAAGCTGGAGTCAGCATTCTTAAAGCAGATATATGAAGCGTACACACTGCATACATACAAACTTGCACACATTTACAAAGTGTCTGCAGGCAACCATAGCAACGGTTGCCATAGCTACTGTAGGAAGCCAGAGTCTTTTTGATGGCATGTTTCCCAAAGGAGCCCGTCATACATCATCCTGCATGGGGGATGGTGGGATAGGATGTATACTGTACATACAGTGAACAGAAATATGCTCTGAGGAGACACACTAGGAGCTCTCAAGCCACAACCATTTCTAGCTTAAAGGGTAAATTCACTCAGCTCTCATGATAGTTTAAGTTTTATTTGTCCAAATTTTGAGAAACTGTCTCTGAGATTCCTGCCTCCACTCCAGGATAATAGAGGTGAATTGAGTTTGTGGACCTCACAGAATTAAAAAAACATCATTCAAACAAGACCTAGGACCTCTCCCAAACCATCCCTTACACCCCCTTGCCTACCCACTTAACCACTCTGTTTATTCCTGCAGAGGATTCCGTCATGTTGAGTGATGTCCCAAACCAGCCAGTGGGGAGTGGAAGTGTTTTCTAAAATGCTTCAACATGGAAGACACTCTGTACAAATAAAGTTCAGTGTGACTACCCTTACAAACGTAAACTGCTCAAACTATGGTAGACATTTGCATTGTCAAACAGACATTAACATCTTACAGGTTGCACTGTATTTAGGATCAAACATAGCCTTCTCTTGTCAGGTTCATCTGATTGTTAAAGACTCTGACATACTTTCCACATTAAATGTCTGCAGCTGCGGTCACCTGCACCAGGGGCTGGAAGGTGAGCTTACCGTCCTCCTCCTGCCAGTGTCGAGTGAAACTGAAACTAGGAAGCCACTGCTGGGTCTGGAGTGACTCCAACTTAAAACTGACTTCACCGCAGTGCAGCGCCTGCGGCTGGCTTGACTGCAGTGTTTTAGACTTGACTGGAGCGTGGAATACGAGGTTGGAGCATGCCCAGACAGTGTGCTTGCTATGCCTACAGTCCACGCAGTCACAGAAATGGGCTGCACACGGGTGTCTGCATAGCGTCCATGTGGGCCCTTGCAGACAAACGGGCGAATGATGACATTTACTTCACAGGGACCAAAATGAACCCTCACACATGTATCATGAATACTATGAACTGGCCTGAAGTGTTGTATCTTCACAGGAACTGTTGCAAAAAACAAGCAGCTTATGAACCTCAGAGTCAAAAAGGATGAGATGTTAACAGAAAAAAGAAAAGAAATTCTATTAAAGAAGCTTAGGATTAAAATTCATTTCTATATATTTATTCATTTAGAGGTTTATAAGAAGGGGAAGTTTGTATTGTATGTTTATTTATACTCTGCAGGGGTTGCTGCAACTGGATTTGCGCTTCGGCAAGAACAAGTGAGGACAGCAAACGCTGAAAGGTTAAAAATAGGTAAATAATTTATTATCTATACTGAAAAGCAATATTAGTATTTGTTTATTAATTGGCCCCTGGCCTCCTGTCATTTTGCAAAAGTGGCCCCCAGGCAAAGCAAGTTGAGTATCCCTGCCCTACATATTAATGAAGGGTGCTTCATTCAGCTGTGAAAGTGACTACAAACAGAGTTACACTCTGTGATGGAGTGGGAATGAAGAGGGTCCGCTTTGGGAAAGGCACCTAGAGTCTACAACAACCACACCCGCAGCTCTGTAAAGCTGAACTAAGTGCTGAAGTCAGCAACATACTCACACTGAAAATGTTAACATAATGATGTTTGGCAGGTATAATCTCCACCATGTTAGTGGTGGAAAGTAACTAAGTACATTTACTCAAGTACTGTACTTAAGTACAATTTAGAGGTACTTGTTCTTTACTTTAGTATTTCCATTTTAGGCGACTAAATACTTATACTCCTTTACATAAGGAGGAAACATTGCTGGTTGCTCTGCACTCTGCCACATGTTTTTATGTCTACATCATGACTGTGTATGTGGGTGGGTGGGTGGTTGTGTGTGTGCGTGGGTGTGGGTGGGTGGGTGGCTGGGTGGCTGTGTGTATGCTTTATAAATAAAGATTGATTGATTGATTGATTGAAAGTAATACCTCACTACATTTATTTGACGGTTTTAGTTAGTTCTGCGAAACTGATGTTTTTAATGCAAAAAATAAATCAACAAAAAATTACAATATATTATTATAGGTTAAGGGGATAGTTACGATTTTTTGAACTGGGGTTGTACAGGGTACCTATCCATATATAGTAAAATATATAGAGTAAATGTCAACAAAATGTATTTAAGTGACCTAAAAAAGTCCCCCCTTAAAAAATCAGTTTAAGTGTATGCTATACTAGGGAAATTTAACAGCTTTGTGTTCATGTCAGACAGTCATTTTTAACTTGAAAATTAAGCGATTATATCACTCTCTTCAAAGCCAAACACAGGAACTGCTGGTCTACCACTGCCTTGATCAATTATTTTGTTTGTATTATTGTGTGACTTTGACACTCAAAAATGTTCAGATTCACCAAAGTCACAAAAAAACCCCACAAACTGACTAACCGATCAAAGCACACCAGCAGTAGTAGACCAGCGGCTTCCATGTTCACTGAGCTAAAATGACTCTTTTTGTCAATGGAGTCTGGTGGCTGTGACAATAGCACAGATGGGGAACCAAAGATGTTAACGGCTTCCCCGTTGAAACAAGCATTCTGACGCCAAGATGAAGCCCTGAAAATACTCTCAATGTAGCGTACACTTAAACTGATATTGATGTTTTAGGTGGGACTCCTTTTTGGGTGGCTAAAATACATTTTGTTGCTGACCCCTCCACAGCAGTACAATGCGTAGCGTCCAGGTTGGACTCCAGTGTGCTTCTCCAAACTGGGCGTGTGCCAACTGACATCTATTGTATGTGACACGCTGACTACAGATAAGTACCTCATACAACCCCACTTCAGAAAACCTGAACTATTCCTTTAAGGTACACAGCAGTATATAAAGTAAACAAAATGAGCTCCACCTTTACCAGCTGTAACATTAAAGTAACAAGCACATCAGTGCATCAATAATTAGAATCCAGTAATATAATAACTAATATTGTGAAATTGGCCATTCCGCATAAAGAGTATTTTTTTTCTTTTGGTACGCTAAGTATAATTTGATGCTAATACTTTTGTACTCTTACTTAAGTAAATTTTGAATGCAGGAGTTTTACTTGTAACAGAGTATTTCTACACAGTGGTATTTCTACTTTTACTTAAGTAAAAGGTCTGAGTGCTTCTTCCACTACTGCACCATGTTCACTATCTTAGTTTAGCATGTTAGCAAGCTAACATTTACTTATTAGCACAAAGTACAGCTGAGGCTGATGAGAACGTCATTAGTTTTGCAGGTATTTGTTCATAAACAACCATATTAGACTACGTTACTGATTAACTAACTAAAATTTTGACCTGATGATGCCTCTTTGTGAAAAGTTACAAAACAGCCTGTCAATTCACCAGACTTATGGGGACACTGTTTCTAGAAAGAGATGCTGCTGTTGAATGTTGTACTTGGTTAGGAGAGCTTTATTTGTTCAGGAAGTCTCATTCTACTTATTCCTCTTCCTTTTTAAAACCTGGTGTCTACATTACCCACTGTGCAACTCGACTGCCGATGGTTGGATTGGAGATTCAAGTGTGTTATGTGCAGGGATGAAATGCATTCTCTTAAGAAAAAAAGACTATTATCTCAAAATTCTGAGAAAAGTTTTCAAGGAGAAAAAATCTTTGCCCTATTTTCCTGAATTAACAAGTATTTTATCTCAGAATTATGGAAAAAAATGTTCATATAAAAAAAAAAAGTCTGCTTGTTTTTTCTGAATTAAGAAGAAAATAATCTCTGACAATGATACAAGATTATTATCTCAAATCTCAATAAAAAGAGCAGATTTTTAAAAATGTTTTTTTTTTCTCATAATACTGAGATAATTATTTTGTTAATTCAGATTAACAGGGCAACTATTTTTGCTCAGATAAATACATAATGCTTCTGTAGTTATGCTAATGCTAAGTAATGGCTAATGTAGCCCTGAGCTTCTAGCCTGCAACACAAACCTGTTGTCTTCAGTTCAAACCAATGCTAACTCGGTGACATTCACTTGAGGACATTTATCCGACTTCACGCAGCTCCATCTAGAGACACAACTTTATTTCAGAAATGCAGTATACTCCCTAACCTGTAAATGGACTTTAATGGGTAAAATCGGTGCAGTTCCCCTTTAAGTACAGTAACCAGGTTTATCAGAGAAACCAGGTTACACAGGACGTCTGCTTTTTCATGCACTATAGTAACCTAGTTACTATAAATCTGCATATAGCAAGTTGCTAATCAGATATCTCCCCTACCCCCAAGCTTATCTATAGAGGTCATTGGTGGGGTTTGATACAGCTCCACAGACTAAAATTTGGAGAAACAAAAGCAAAATGATCTGCATGACTGGATACTGCTAGAGGTAAGCGAGAAATTGTTTCTGTAATTTTGGTGATCTGACCCTTTCAGGACACCTCATAAATGGTCTCCATCTTGTCAAACATGCAGAGGTCTGGAGGAAATCTGCTCTGTGGTGTCATGTTGCTTTGCTCTTAATTCTCTCCAGAGCAAAATTTCTCTGGACACTTGGTTATAGATGTGATGATGATGACATCTTGAATACAACCAGACCAGATCACAGCTGTGCTGGAACTAAACAGCAAAATATCGACAGTAAAATATCTGTGAGCCATATGTACACCTCTGATCTCCAGGTTAGTCAGTCTGGATCTTGTGAAGAGAAAAAAAGAGACTAAAAGCCCAGTGGACAGGAACAGTGTGTGTATATGTGTCAGTCCTTCATTCTTATTCGCTCAAACACAAACAGCTCTCCACTCTCCAGTGATTTACAGTGCTCACCTTGGCTGGCGCTGTGAGGGTAAAGCCCGTCGGGCCTCCTCCCCCAGCCGGCTGAGGGAGGGTGACCGGCTCCTTGCCCCCCTCCCCATGGTCCGGACCACCACGTTGCCATTGGGGCTGCCGCTGGGCATCTGCTGGAGCAGCTGGGGTGACAGGCTGCGATGTAATGCTGAGGAGCCAGGCTGCGAGTGACCCTGCTGGGGGGCCCTGTGTGGGTGGGGCTGGGCGTGTTGCTGCAGATGGGGGGCCCAGTTGCCAGGAGAACCGTGCTGCTGCTGCTGGTACTGACTGACTGTTAGGTTGTTGTCGCTGTTGGAGCGCAGCAGGACCCGTGGAGCTGATAACGAGGAGGGGGACTGGTCGTTTCCGCTGCCGTTACCAGAAGACGGACCCCGGCGGCGTTTGGAGTAGGCTGGAGCCTCGCGGAAAGGCACTGCAGAGAAATGAAAAGATTAATCTTTTGGAATTTTAGCATTAAATTCTTTGAGTAGGCTACCTTTGTTCATTTCTGATAGCCTTACTGTTTGCTTAATTTTTAAATGCTGATCAATGGGACTAACAACACATACAGTCCTCAGTGTCATAGATAGTAAGGGAATATATAATGTGTGACCTTAAAATGAGAGCAAGGTGCTTCCAGACTACAAATGTCAAAAGTTCACTATAATATTTACCTGTGATCACTCCTGCTAAAAAAATATTTTTAAGTTGACAGACTTGAGGATAAATATTTATGTTGATTGATGTTGAGTAAATGGGAGTAATTCCAATAAAAGGGACAGAAGATAAAACACTGAAGGAATTTAAGTGGCAGTGGGAGTGAAAGTTTTAAAAAACTAGAATTATTGCTTCATGGTTGTTTGCCTCTGCAGTTACACTTTACATTCATGTCTATGTCTCGGCAGCATGGAAGATATATACAGTCAACACAGTTTCAAGGTGGACACCCAAGATTAGTGTCACCAATTTAGTATCTGACCAAATGTCTCCCCTTCTGTTCCTGAGATATGATGTTGAGTAATGGCCAGAAAAGTGTTTTTTGGGGAACATTATGATGTCAGAGTGAAGTTGACCTTTGACCATTTGGATATAAAATATCATCACATCATTATTTTATCCTATTTATCATAAATAGAGAATTAATTTCTGAGTTATGGCCAAAAACATGTTTGTGAGGTCACAGTGACCTTGATCTTTAACCTCTGACCACCAAATTGTAATCACTTCATTCTTCAGTCCAAGTGGACGTTTATGCCAAATTTGAGATTTTCTTAAGATATCTTGTCACAAAAATGAAATGGATGCAAGGTCACCATGGCCTTGACCTTTGACCACCAAAATCTAATCAATTTATTCATGAATCCAAGTGTTAATTTGTGCCAAATTTGAAAAAAAATTCCCTCAAGATGTTCACAGATATTATTTTCACAAGAGTGGGACGAACGAATTGTTGGATGGATGGACAAAAGGATGGGTGGATAGATGGGAGGACAGATGGATGGACAACAAACCAAAAACATTATGCCTCTGGCCACAGAGGCATAAAAAAAACACACTGGAAAAGATCTTGCAGGTTAAATCATATGGTACAAATGGAAGCGCTCATTTAAATACATGCAAAACTACAACTGCACCTTCTATTTGATGAACAAGAAAACCAATGGTGGTTTGAAGGCAATATAAACTTCTTTTTCATTACAAAATGTGCTTTTTTTTAAAAATATATACACATCTTACATCTTTATCGAATAGAAATGACAAGGATTGAACCATTTGTAAACATAATATTCCTTAGATATAAAACATCTGTTTAAAAGGTTGGCCTACATGTTTGATCATTATATACTCTAGGGATGTCAGTTTGATTAATTTTGTTTTCAATAAGCCGACACCCATCAGTCGGTAACAAACCAGTTAATTTAAAACAACAAAACAAAACAAAACTCAACAAAGATGTGAAAAAGCGGTCTTTCCTTTTAGTCCAGCACTCCTTTGACTCAGTGAGCTTAAGCACTGCATTTTAAAATGCTATAAATTTGAAGGTGGTGAAATTTTAATGTTTTATAATTACAATTTCTTGCCATTTATTTTATTTTCCATCAGCTTTGCTGAGATACAGCCAGCCAGCTGTGTTAAAATGTGGAAACATGCCCACTACCCAACCTTCAGTTTCCACTGGTTCCTCAGCCCTGCACTGTCTCCACCCAGGTCAAGTGGGAGCTAACATTAACTAGCAAGAACTACCGCTCATTCAATAAACAGCTGACAATGCTGTCCGTATGACAGAATGCGTTGCTGCGGAAACATTATAACCAACCTCTGGCCTCCCCCCAGGTCACCCTAGTGAGTAAGTCGCTTCACTTTAACCGTAAAACATTTTAGGCATTGTTTACGTTGTTACATTGCTAATGATGGTAACAGAGCTATCAGTGATAAAGTGGTCAACAATGCGAAAGGGAGTTTTAGAACTCAAATTTGACCCACTTACTCACCTGGGTAAGTTTGGGGGAGAGCCGAGGGTGGGCACATTGTTTCCCACAGTTGTGGTGGGATGATGTAACTGGAGGTAATCACTAAATGTGCAACGCTGCTAGCTAGCACCTACCAGACCCAAATGGTGTGCAGTACAGTACATGTGCAGGGTAACAAAACTAACCAATAGAACCATGTGTAACCGGTATAAAATATTCCTGGTGTTGCTTTATATTTTAAGCACTGCTGATAAGAAATTGATCAGAAACAGAAACTGAAAATAAACATATGTAGGCAACATTATTGTCGAAGAAAGAATCCCATCTTTCTACAGTTATTCTCCAAAATTAGACACAATCTGGTACCACCAGCACTACAAAGGAGTCTATGTCACTGGAGACATGAGAACACTTCCTCTACTCCCTGAAGACAACACTCAACAGGCCTCTATAGCAGAGCTCTGCTGTATGTGTGGAGCTGCCTTTGAGTGATGATGAAGGGCCAGTAACACTAACCTTTTAGCTGCTAATAGAAGACAATGTCACCCTGACCTTGGATCAAAGTCAAAGGAGGATTTGTTAGTTTCTTTCTCATAACAACTACACCATTTGTCAATGTGACTTGTCCCAGTCTAAAGGTGCAACTTTGGTGCAGCTGTGTTCACAGGATTGAGATCACAGCATTAGCACTGTTCTACAGTATGAGTGCAGTTTGGTGCTGTCTGTTTAAATTTTGCTGCCACAGCACCAACTCATGGTTATAACCCAAATTGTCTCAAGAACTGAAACATTTTTTTGTAAGAATCAAGAACAATAAAAATAATTTAAGTGCTGCAGGATTTTTCTATTATCTCCCTCTTGCTTCTCTTGTGTAGGGTCACAGGGAGCTGGAGTCTCTCCTCGCGCACAAGTTTAACGCACACACAATCCCTCCTTTAAAATCTGTTTCTTGAAATACTTTTGGGATTCTGTTGTTGATCTTCAAATCACTTTGTGGACTAGCACCAGCATATTGCAAAACACCCGACTAAAATTAGTATTTGAGAAACACAATTTTAAAGGCACGGTAGATGCAGTATGACATAGGCAGAGAGACCGTAAACTATGAATGGACGTCACGACCCCTTGAAAAAGTGTGCCTGCTGTTAGCCTTTGAAGCAGCAAAGGAGTCTCTAAAGCAGCTGTCAGTCTTGTCAATTGCTCCATGAGCTGTTGTCAAACTGTCAAACTAGGCAGCACTGACCAAATATGAACAAAGATTCTGTTACTGTATTGCCTATTTCTCACCTCAGATGTTTTCAGAAACATATTTTAGTGTAATGTTTAGCTGTAAAATGAGAAAGTTGGTCCAGCTGGTGGGCGGTGCTCGAACTCCCGTTTAACTGTATCCAACATGGCAGCCAGGTCACCAACTTTCTCATTTTACAGCTAAACTGGACACTAAAATATGTTACTGAAAACATTTGAGGTCAGCAGTTCATGAGCAGTGACTGACATGATTGACAGCTGCGTTAGAGACTCCTTAGTTCTGATTGGTTGTTTTGGTTCACATACAGCAAGGCCATGAGAAGGGCTACAAGGCAATAGAGCAGGCAGAGAAATATACTATATATTATATACATATATTACGTGTGCTGACATTAGCAAGCTAGCAGCGTGACATTTAATCATTATGGACAGTCTACGTGATCGCCTTCAATATGATGTGATGGTCGTCTAAAAGACGGTGTAAAATTTGCCCTACCCATCCGGAGCTCAGATAATTTTGACCCTCAATCAGAGACCTGTAATTGCCATTTTTCTGGTGATCAGAGGCCAGGCGATCAATAAAATATTCTTGAATACCTAAAACAAAACACAAACACGTGTTGTTGTTGTTTTTAGTCACGTAGTCACCGCAGCAATGGCGCCGCTGCAAGATGGCGGCATACACAAATCGCTCGCCGAATTCGTCTATAGTGACAGAAATAGCAAATATGGGAAAAAAAAAAAAGTTTTTTTTTTTTCCTTGATAAGTTACCAACTGTAGCTTTAGCTGTCAATTACACTCTTTAGTAATGTCAGTCTGACTTGGCCAAAGGTAGACAGTCCATCATTGCGTCACCCTCTGGGGAAAAAATATTAAGCAGGCTGACGTCAACACAAGTGATAAGGGCAAGAACCAGGTGTGTAAGAAAATATCGATACACTTGAGTATCCTGATATTATATTTTATGATACTGTATTGATTCTTAAAAACACAACTAATAGTTTATATGCAGAGATTCATGACAGCAGTCCTTTTTACACAGAGATGGCACTATAGGGCTGCTATGAAACCCCATCTTTATGCCGCCTTTGCACAACATGTTGGCAATGTGGAAGCAAAAGAGATGTATGATATATGTAACACAACAGCATCAGCCTCTAGTGAGACATATAAAATGCACATCGGCAGCGACAAACGATGAACAAAAACAATGGCAAAACCCCTCTGAGGATAAAGAGCTCCTGAACCTCCTGAATTTATGTGTATTTTGGCATTCATCAATATTTTAGTAGCTGCAAGCTTTTTGTAGGTACTAACAAAATCTACACCTGCCTCTGACTGGTCGTAGTGCTTGTGTAAATAAGATATTGCATATAAATGTTGCTTGTCATTATTAGAAATTACAGATTTATTTCGTATTGTGCTCTCTTATGTTCACAATACACAGATGCCTTTGAAACAAATTAAACATGACGAGATTAGAAAGGTAACACATTTCATTGAATGAGTTGGCATTTAGCAGATTTAAGATTCAGATTATGGCTCTTAAAGATGTGACTGAGTTATTTAAATTGACTTAATACAAAACTGGAAAATGCTGTTCTTTGAATAAATAAAATGAGAAACCAGTGTGTTCTGCCTCTGCCCTCTTTATGCACTGCAGCCCCAAACTGCGTGTCACTTGTTTAATTAAATTATCAGCGATGTGATGTG